AGAGGCACTGCGCATGCGCGCTTTACTCCCATTCTATCGCGATATTTCATTTTCCTATCGTTGCCTAACATTATACCGGTATTACCGTGAACGGTATAATATGGCCCAGCCCTAGTGATGAAGGCCTTATAATCACTATACAACCTCCAACCCCAGCAATCTCAGGTCTTTGTAAAGCAGCTCCACTGAAATCATTCTGCTGTATCATCTGGTATGGAAACTGCACCATAGAGGAATATGACACCCATCAGAGAGTGATGATGGAAGTTGAGTTTCCCTCCCTCCAGGAGATATATGAGCACCAATGCACTGCCTGAGCCCAATGGATCATTAAAGAGAAGTCACCACTCTAACCACAAACTGTTCAAACCTGTAAGAACTCCTGGCCTGGAAAACACTACAAATGGATCTTCAGTCTAAAATTGAAATTGGATGCAAAAGAGACATTGTCCAATCGCTATCAGGCTGCTGAACAAATTATGAAGTTTCTATTTATTTATGATTTATTAATATTAGTATTATTATTATTCTGTTGCCAGACATATGCTCTTTTACTTTTTGTTTGCACATATAGAAAACACTGGATTGCATTGTGTTTCCTTTATCATGATCTGCTAAGCTAGAGCTCTGCAATATAAACTTTTTCACCAACTTTTACTTGAATCTGTGATATGACAATAAAACTGGATCTGATACACTCATTTCCAATCCTCCCAATGAAAATGTGAACATTTTTAACTCGTCACTATAATCTTGTAAACTCATTTCCACCCACTAACTGTTCTTAATCTGTTTTGTTCACTGTTTTGCATGGTGTACCCTAAGTATTTAAACTTATCACTAACTATACACCTTGGATTTTCACTGTTACCCTATCATTCACACACATATTCGATGATGCTTCTATTGACTTTCTTTCCTCTTCTCTCCAGTGCACATCTTCACTTCTCCAGGCTCTATTTTGCCTGTTTTCTACTCTCATTGCAGATCACAATGTCATAATCCAAAGAGACTCCTGCCTGAGCTCATCTGTCAAGCTGTTCATCATCACATCAAAAAAAAAAAAAAAGGGGGGGGGCTCAGAGACAATGCAACCACATCCCGTGCTTAGACCATCTGTCACTCCTACCACACAGCTGAACACTGCCCTCATACACACGGCTGGGCCATATCATAACCTTCACGGTAATACCGGTATAATGTTAGGCAATGATAAGAAAATGAAATATCGCGATAGAGCAGGGGTCACCAACACGGTGCCCGCGGGCACCAGGTCGCCCGCAAGGACCACATGAGTCGCCCGCGGGCCTGTTCTAAAAATAGCTCACCATAACAACTTACCAGTAAGCTGCATCTATTTTTATTTTTTCTTGCTATTT